AAACTTTGAAATTTCTTTAAAAATAAAAAATTGCACTGGGCCGCATTATGAGCCGACCTGGGCCGCATGCGGCCCTCGGGCCACAGGTTGGACAAGCCTGATTTAAAGCAACATTATCAGGTGTCAATAGGTTGTCTTTTCTGTTTTAGTTTGTGGTGTCATATATTTTCATTTTTAAAAAAATTATTTTATTTGTGTTTTCCCTAATAATGTAAACCACCTGAACAGTGTTCTTAATTTATACAATTACTTTTATTTTACTTTGTTATTCAACAAAGACAAACTTCCTTTCCCAACTCTTATACCTGTGTTCATGCATTTTAAAAAGCAACGAAATCCCCCAGCCTCCAAAAAACAAACAAAAAACACCTTCAGTTTAAAGCAGAAATTATGGCAGAGAGAAGAAATTGTGCTCACAGATCAACCCCTATCCTCAAACATGGGTACATGGATTCATGCTTATTATACTTTAAGTTCCATTCCAAATAATCACATAAGTACGTTTCACTCTTTGATTTCCTAAACAGAAAAAACCCACTTCTACTTACCTAACACTAAGCTTATTAAGTGGCTAGAATCTAGTGCACAGTAAATTGCACTAGATTAGGTCCAATGAAGCAGTGGACATTTGGTGAGTCAACTCCTCCATAAACTATGTTGTTCCATTGATTCAAATGGGCCTATTCAAGTTGCAACTCACTTAGTTTTAACTAGAGTAGGCCTATTTAAATCAATGGAACATACAGGATAGTTGACTCACCCCACTAATTCAATGGGCCTACTCAATGTGCCTTCCTAAGTTAAACAATAGGATTTCAGCCAATAAGACTTGCTTCTGCTAAATATAAACAGGAATGAACTACAGTGTGCCTTGCTCGACGACGATAATGCGTTCTGTTAAAATCACTGTTAAGCGAAATCGTCAAGCGAAATTAAAAAACCCATTGAAATGCATTGAAAACCGTTCAATGTGTTCCCATGGGCGAAATACCTCATCGTGCAGCAAAGATCCTCCATAGGGCGGCCATTTTCTGGTGCCTATATAGCGAGGAATCCGTCCTTAACACAGCGGGGAGCCATTTTGCACAGCGGGTGGCCATTTTGAAACCCGACGATCAGCTGTTTTTAGATCGTCATAATGCAAAGAATCGGTTCCCGAAGCAGGGAACCGATCGATGTGAAGCGAATTTTTCCCATAGGAACATCGTTTTGCGATTGCAATAGCGATCGCAAAAAACCATCATAAAGCGGATTCGACGTTTAACAAGGTAATCGTTAAGACACCACTGTAGTAAAGTCTGTAAGCTCTTGGATTGTGTTTAAAATATTTTGTTCATAAGTGCTGGGAAGTGGCAGGGCTTCTGTGACTGGCCCTTACCCAGGCTTGCCACTTTTAAACTTTATAATAAAGAAAATATCTTTTTTTTTCATTCTTTAACCACTTGATTTAGTACGGATAATAGCTGGAGTTTAAAGGAAGGTTGTTTTTAAAAGCGACAAGCCTGGGTAAGGGTTGGTCAGTTTCAACCAAAGATTTCTCTTTCAAATTGAAGACCAGTTCCTCTTTGAAAATTAATCCATACCAACTTCCCCGGGCAGCAGCGACACACATCTGTATAACGGCCTACAGATTTTGCAGTGTGAGAGATGGCCTTTCTCTAAGGTAATGCTCCCTCTGCAATTCTGATTTTTTTGAATTTTTATTTTATAATATTTATATACGCTAACAATATGCGCACATACTCAGCAATATATCTATCAATACAAACCATTCCTATAGTTCCTTATGACACCTATTCATTCCATCGAGCTTAAAAGACAAAAGACCAATATTCCAGCCAACTTCTCAAAGTATTTATCCTATTTAATTCCAAACCAAAAAACTAACAAAGGGCCCCAGATTGTAATGAGACCATCTTCTTTTATTTAGACCTCTAAATGATCTGAGACAAGGAGTACGGTTTTCCACCCACACTACCGCCCATGTCCTATCCAGATCTCAGGGACAGAGAAGTCCAATTCTGCCGGCCGGCGACTCGCTCACCTTCCCGCGGCTATCGAAAGGGAGGCTGTCGTCTCGCTGGGGCGAAGCCGAGCGGCTCCGCTTGCCTTCGGCGTCGCCGGGGGAAGGCGGCGTGGCGCTGGCCGAGGCGGCGGCGCCGGCGGCTCCCCGGGGCGAGGAATCCGGGGAGGGGGTGTTGAAGGGCCGCTCCTCCATCTCCGCCTC